GTAGGAAGTAGGTCACTGATGTACAACATTTAAGCACATATTTGTAGGAGAGGAAGTGCCAGGCTTTAGCACAGGCTGTACTAAGAGAACACAGCTTCCGCTTTGAGAACACAGCCCGCACTTCCACAAAATAGCCAACCTACAATCTGCCCAGATGAGGGGATCCTGCCTGGATGAGGGGATCTATCAGGAAGCAACATACCAACTTATGGGGCACTGGGGGCAGGGGAAGAGGTAAGTGGCTTGCACGTCCCAGCAATAAACGAATCTGCAGCACCTTGCCTAGTGCCTGCTCTCACCGACTCCCAAAGTCTCTGTGTTGATTCTGCACCACTCACCCCCACCTCGGCCAGAAACCTCATTCCCTGTAGTCCCTCATGGGCTGGACAGCGAGGAAACCTGCAACAGCTGGAGCCTGAACAAGGTTCCCATCCCCCCCAGCATTGGCAACGCCCCATCTTCAATTCATTAGGTGAGTAGGCCCTGGGTTTCATCTGCCTGTTTGGCTGCTTGAGGGTGAGCGAGTGGCACCCTCCTCTGTCTCCTCTAACCTGTTTGTCACATTTGTTGTTAAATCGAGAGGGCACACTCTGCCACGTGGTCCCAAAGCCCACGTTTGCACCTTTACCTTCTTATCTTGATGAATTCACATAAGGGCTGATCCACCCCAAACTCAGAGCCCAGGCTTCAGGTCATCCTGTTGCCTTTCCCGGAGACACTGTGTGAGCATACGGCTGGAGGTGTCATGGCCTCCAGAAGTCTCTCACTAAGCACAAGACATTTGGAGCCAGTACACCTTTTCATGTTGGGGCAGTTTCTGTCCAAGTGGCTCACGGTCCTTGTTTGCTTCATTTGTGCCTCTTGGTAGTCACTCTTGCCTTTTACTTTTCTAGCGAGCTCAAAAAACCTTCAATAGAGAACCCAATGCTATTGTGCAAACCTTTCCCCTCCATAGCCTCTAGAGAAAGGTGGCAGCACCGGGAGGGGATGGGGTCGCAGATGTTTCAGATCCTCAGACAGGGGGTGTGGGCCGCTCTGAGCTGCAGCTGGTACTACGACCTGCACCAGGCCACCTTCATAAATGTCCTGCACCCCTACCTGTGGCTCTTTCTGCTTGGCCTGCCCTTCGCCATCTAAATAGCCTGCCCACCCCTTACCAGCCCATGTCTGCCTTTCCAGTTAATGTTGGCCCAATGTTGAGCAACAGCCATGGGTGGCCACCACTCTCACAGAGCTTGCACTCATCCACAAAGCTGCCAATGAATCAGGCTCTGACTCCCCATATTTTGATCAAGTTCTCCACTCAAAAAGTCTGCTCATATACTGCATTTCCTGGTATCCTAGCTCAGGGGAATGCCACCACAGATGCCCTGATAATGACATGCCAGTCTAGCCCATTAGAAGCAAGAGCTTTACATCAGCAATTACACCTGTCACCTCAGAGTATTCATAAACTCCTCCCAGAAATCCCCGTGTCCTGATGCAAGCACCTTGTCTCCTCTTGTGCTACTTGTGCCCTGCTTATGCCTCTCAGGCCCCCTAACAGGGGAGGCGTGAATCCCCGGGGTTTCATACCCAATGCCATTTGGCTGAGGGACATGAATCAATACCCCCCCTTTGAGAAATTGAGATTTGTTCATGTTATAGTTGACACATGCTCCTCCCTTACTTATGCTTTAGCTCTCTCAAGGGAAAAGATTATACATGCCATTAAAGCTATAAAGTATGCCATGCTAATCATGGGTGTATGCTGGGTGCTTAAGACTGATAATGGGCCCACTTATTCCTCTCAAGAATTCAATAAACTTGTTTCCTTCTGGGGAGTCAAACATACCTTTGGTATTCCCTATAACCCACAAGGACAAGCCATTGTCGAAAGGACCAACAGGACATCTAAGCCCCTCCTGGCTAAAAATCCCTTGGCTGAGGCCCAAGGCAACCCTCACCTGGCTCTTACTGAGGCTTTGTTCCACCTTAATTTCCTCATGTTTGACGACTGGGGTCTCAGTCCAGCATACAAACATTGGTCCTTCTTGGCTCAGGCTATGCCCCCACCAGTAGTTAGGTGGAGGGATCCAATTTTATCCTTGGCAGAAACCAGCCCATCCTGACACGAGGATGAGGATATGCCTGTATTTTTCCACAGGATGCTACAACCCCCATCTGGATTCCATCGAGACATCTGGCCAGCTATGGAAACCCATCTGGAGACCAGATCTGAGTGCGAGTTGGATAAGCCACGACATCCTTTTCCGGCTTCGTTATCTTTGGCACCCGTTTGTCCTTTGACTGTGCTTCTTCCCAGGCTTTGGATCTCTGGGCACTGGTCCCCTTACCACCTCTAATCCTACCTGCAGATGAACAGTCACCTGCTTTCCCGGTTCTCTTTACTACTAATGAATCCCTCGGTCTCACCACCATCGAATTGGTTCATGCGTCCATTCCCATTAGTGGCACATGGTCCCTTGCAGGATTGCTCTGCTTCAGCTCAGTCCTTAACCCCAACTCCCCTAATGTCTCTCGCTGTCACTCCCTCTTTAACATCACAACAGGTGACTTTTGTGGAAACCGAAGCTAGGGCTCCTTATGGGGCCTCAAAATTTGGCCTTAGTAAAAGACACTTCAGAGACTATAGTGTCTATGCCTCCTGGGGCCACCACCCCTCACCCCGAAGGGTCAGGCGTCCTCCATGGTCCCGGTGCCTTCCCACCTATACACTTCCCACCACACTGCATTTTCCTATTCCCTGGGAACACTGCCTCCCGCTCACTCCTGGATATGCTCTGCTTTATGGATGCCCGCAGGCTTCCTCCCTGGCAGCCTGGAGACACCTTGTCTCTACAAACCCCCCCTTAGGTCTGGCAGGTCTGGCTTGCTGACATCCAAGAAGCGGCTGTGTAACTTCTTGCCCTCCTCCTCCCTCATATGGTCATGCCAGAGGTCACACCCTTTGAGGGCTGATAGTCAATGACGGGTAAGATCCTGATGTCAGGATGACCTAAGACAAGCACAGTCCATCAAGCTGGGTGTCCTCTGAGGTAGGGTCAACCATGTTGAGGCAAAGAACCTTGGCTCCCTATAATAAAAAGGAATGGATATGCAGGAGAGGAAATGTCAGGCTTAAACACAGGCTGCAGTAAGAGAACACAGCTTCCGCTTTGAGAGAACCCACACTTCCACAAAATAGGCAACCTACAACCTTCCCTGATGAGGGGATCCTGTCTGGATGAGGGGATCTATCAGGAAGCAACACACCAACTTATGGGACACTGGGGGCAGGGGGAGAAGTATATAAGGCTTGCACTTCCCAACAATAAACAAGTCTGCAGCACCTCACCTAGTGCCTGCTCTCACCTGACTCCCAGAGTCTGTGTGTTGATTCTGTGCCACTCACCCCCACCTCAACCAGAACCCTGTGACCATCTGTTTCCTTACATGTCAGAAGGTACCCAAACATGCAAGCACTCCTGTATGTTCTCTTAGTCCTAAACTTTACCAGAGTCTCACTTGTTTACACCTCTCTTTTAATGTATAAGCAAACACAAATATTATGTGTTAGTTGTCCCACAAAGTGTGTGGGGTAAAAGAAAATAGTGACTAGTTTTAAACACATCAATACTCACAAATTAGGATTACAGTAACATTGCCACATATATTTCATTATATTATCATAATCTCTCAAATACATCATACAATCTCTAATAAAGAGATCATGAAAATTATTTTGGGGTAAGTCCCCAAGGAACAGATCCCTGGGAAAAACCAATGCCCTGATTTATCTGATTATCCTTGTATTAGCCTTCGCTTATCATCAGCTGAAATAAGATGTGTTTCTATTTCTAGGGCAGATAATACTTTTTCATACGTTATATTTTACAATGTTTAACATATACTTTATTTGTCTAAACATCAACTTATATGCAGCCTTAAAATTGTTATAAAGTGAATTCAATGCATTCTAATCAAAATGTGCATGAAAAGAATTAAAGAAACAGGATTCTTTAAATTGACAACTTGGATGTCATTACCATTTCCAAAAATTTTAAGGAATTCATGGATGAGCACATATACTTATAACTTTTTAAAGATAATCCTCATCTCTCTGCCTCCATTTCTTTTTCACACAGCAATTGTATTACAAATTCAACATTATCTACTAAAATATTTATTAATAAATCAACGGACTTGCCATGTCCTCATCAGTAATCAACTGAAAGTATGGTTCAATTCAAATACTCAGGATTGGCTGTTTTAACTTAGCAGGAAGCACTCCTACTTTACAGTGAAGTACATTCTTAATGCTACTCAATAAAAACGCAAAGAACCACTTGACCTCATTCACGAATTTTGCCTGAGGCTTTAATTATAATAGAACAACTAATATTAACAATGCCTTGATAATGTCCTATGGATTCCTCAGCTCTCATGCAGCAACTATTAAACCAAATTGCCAAATAATCCTTTGAAAGCGAGGCAGATTAATATCCATATTGAATGAACAAATACTGTACAGTCCTCAGAAAGCTACAGTACTGGGAATATAACCAAGTTTCCTGCAGATACAATTCTATCTACACATATATTAATTTGTAATATCTACCATAATGGCTTTTATTTTACTGCATCATAATAGTTGGCTGGGAATACAAGGTCTTCAATGTTCACCATTATCTTCCATTTTCAAAAACCTCGCTTAAAATATAACAGGATAGTACAATGTTACAGTCACAAATCTTGTAAGATTAATTGCAAATTTCCTCCAATGTCTTTTGTTTTTACCATGTCAAGTAAAACTGAAAACATCTGAACACTCTTTTGATTGTGGAAACTAGGTACTTATGTGCTTTACTCACACGCTGCATTAATAGTAAATGAGATGTTTCCTCAGAAGGGAGACATTTGGCAATGGTGGCCTATTTTTCTTTAGCGCTAGTTTTCTCTACAATAAGGATTCTGTGGTATTCATAAGATTGGATAGAAAAGTCATTCTGCCACTTTGTATTTAATTTTAATTTTTTTTAGTATACTGTGAAGTATTGTAATACATAAATATGTTTCAACATTCTCCTTACTTTGAAACATATCCCTTTAGTATGGATTCTGTTTCATTTACTAAGGGTTGAGTCCAGAGGACAGGATTTCCACATTCTGTGCAATTGTAAACTGTATAAAGTTTTGGTTTATAAAATTTATAAACCTCAAGGCCAGCCTGGTCTACATACTGAGTTCCAGGATAGCTGGGGCTACAGGGAGACCCTGTGTCAAAAAGACCAAAAGAAAAAACAAATTTATAAACCAAATTTATAGGCTGCAGTATAAATTTTTGGTAAGTTTACCTTTTGATATATGGTTAAATATATTTCCAAATCACTTATATTTGTAGTGTCTCCCTTTATTATGCATTCTTTGATGATCTCTAAGAGTTGATACATGAGGAAAGGACTCTCACCGCCTTTTCATTTGTAGGGTTTCTCTTTAGTATGAATTTTGTTATGACGTCTAAGATTTGAAGAATGGATAAAGCACTTATCACATTCTTTACATTTGTAGGGTTTCTCACCAGAATGCACTGCCTGATGCATTCTAACAGTTGACATTCGAGTAAAGCGCTTGTCACATTCTTCACATTTGTAGGGTTTCTCTCCAGAATGCACTGATTGATGTATTCTAAGACTAAACATTCGAGTAAAGCACTTGTCACATTCTTCACATTTGTAGGGTTTCTCTCCAGAATGCACTGCCTGATGCATTCTAACAGTTGACATTCGAGTAAAGCGCTTGTCACATTCTTCACATTTGTAGGGTTTCTCTCCAGAATGCACTGATTGATGTATTCTAAGACTTACATTTGTAGGGTTTCTCTCAAGTATGAATTACATGATGTGCTCTAACATGAGATATATTTTTAAAGGACTTCTTACATTCTTCACATTTGTAGGGATTCTCTCCAATCTGAATTCTCTTATGTGTCTGAAGAAGTCTGGCCTGGGTAAAGGACTTGTCACATTCTTCACATCTATAGGGTTTTTCTCCAGTATGAATTCTGTAATGACTCTTAAGTATTGAGTGTTCGGAAAAGGACATGCCACATTCTTCACATTTGTAGGGTTTCTCTCCCGTATGAATACTTTTATGACGTCTAAGATATGAGACCATGGTAAAGCACTTGTCACATTCTTCACATCTATAGGGTTTTTCTCCAGTATGAATTCTGTAATGACTCTTAAGTATTGAGTGTTCGGAAAAGGACATGCCACATTCTTCACATTTGTAGGGTTTCTCTCCCGTATGAATACTTTTATGACGTCTAAGATATGAGACCATGGTAAAGCACTTGTCACATTCTTCACATTTGTAGGGTTTCTCTCCAGTATGAATTCTTTCATGACGCCTAAGATTTGAGGACCTGGGAAAGAACTTGTCACATTCTTTACATTTGTACGGTGTCTCTCCAGCATGCACTGCCTGATGTATTCTAAGATTTGACATCTGAGTAAAGCACTTGTTACATGCTTCACATTTGTAGGGTTTCTCTCCCGTATGAATACTTTTATGACGTCTAAGATATGAGACCATGGTAAAGCACTTGTCACATTCTTCACATTTGTAGGGTTTTTCTCCAGTATGAATTCTGTAATGAACTTTAAATGCTGAGTGCAAAGCAAAGGACCTGCCATATTCTTCACATCTGTAGGGTTTTTCTCCAGAATGAATTCTGTAATGACTCTTCAGTTTTGAGCATGTAGTAAAGGACCTGCCACATTCTTCACATCTGTAGAGTTTTTCTCCAGTATGAGTTCTGTAATGACTCTTAAGTTTTGAGCGTGTAGTAAAGGACATGTCACATTCTTTACATTTGTAGGGTTTCTCCCCAGTATGAACACTTTTATGACTTCTAAGGTATGAGGCCTTGGTAAAGCCCTTGTCACATTCTTCACATTTGTAGGGTTTCTCCACAGTATGAATATTTCTATGACCTCTAAGACTTTCGGGGTTGGTAAAGGACTTGTCACATTCTTCACATTTGTAAGGACTTTTCCCAGTATGAATAATTTTGTGACTTCTAAGATATGAGGCCCGGGTAAAGGACCTGTCACATTCTTCACATCTGTAGGGTTTTTCTCCAGTATGTATTCTATAATGAATCTTAAGTGTGCAGCGCAAAGT